TGTATCACAACATCCCTTCATTTAAACCCCACGGCTACGCACATAAACTTCGATCTCACATAGTACCAAGGTGTCAAACCCTCGTTTTCTCGTGCATATTTCCTGGCGGACAAGGTCTGGATGAGTCTGATGACAAGTTTGACATTGGCATACATTGGCGCACACAAGCGTGTGTGATTTTGCATTACCGAAACCCTCAATTGGAGTCTTGGGATACATTAGCTTTCGAGAGATAGAATGTCTGGTTGGTTACATCTAATCTCAGAGCGGGGAACGACACCGTTTTATGCCATGCATGGCCGCGAGGAACTACCATGAGCGATAAAATTATGTTACATTGCAGATTTATATCTTTTTTTCCTCATGAGTTTCTGCAGGTACTTTTCTTTGGGAAGGAGAGTGGGTATGTACGGAGTATGTTGTGAATTGAACATTGGACTGATGTATTATCAATATTCAGCTTGATACTTATCTGGTGGGGGATTGGATGGGTAGTACATCCCTTTACCTACCAGGCAGACCTAGAGAAATGTATAAATTGACCTCATAGAAGAGATGTCGATCATTCTACCGTTAGTACCCGGTAGTCTCTGTTCTTCTTACCTTCTATTCATTTCCATTCTTCATTCAATCGATATCAACATCAACATCAACATCAATCTCAACATCAACACTTTTATCGATATCTTTATTGTGTGGATCAATCACATCCATCGCGCATTTCTTCTCAATATGGTTTCCAACCTCTTCGGTGTTCTACGCCGAAAACTGCGAAATCCGCATTTCGAGGTAAAAGGAACCGCGAATGTTCATGGAAAAGACAATTGGTTAGACAATGATGATGTTCGACCTCTAAAATTAGCCGATCGTACTTGGAATGTCTGGACTTATCTTGCTTTTTGGTTTTCTGCAAGTGAGTCTCGCGATGCAATCATTGTGATTATATGGAGTTGAGTTTGATGCTGATACGTACCGTAATAGCTTCGACGGTTTCAACATGGTATGCAGCTTCGAGTGCCCAAGCTTTGGGATTGAGTATGTGGGAATCGGTTCTGTGTGCTTTTGGTGGTCAATGTTTGATTGCTATTGTGATCGTGTTTAATGGCAGATCGGGAGCTGTATATCATATGTAAGTTTGAAACATTCATGTTTCTGTCTCCCTTCAATTGGATAACCATTGAAATTACCCAATTGTTGTATCCAACATATCCTATTTCCATATTTTGATTTTGGGACGAACCTTTTCAATTGTCTCAGTGCTCCTCAAGATTTCACTAGTTTCCACTGTTCCACGTTTGCTGACGATACTTTCATTATATAGTGGTTACCCTATACTAAACAGAGCGGCATTTGGTGTCTTCGGTGCATGGTGGCCTACTTTCAATCGTGCTGTAATGGCTATTGTTTGGAATGGTGTTAATGCGGTCCAAGGAGGCGAATGCATTTATGTTATGCTTCATACCCTCAGTCCACGTGTTGCCAACTTCAAGAATGTCATGGGAGAGGGATCGGCTCTTGATTCGGGCGGTATGCTTGGACTTGGAATCTTTTGGATTCTCACTTGCTGCTTTCTTATTATTCCTGTCCCAAAGGTCAGCCCCATTCAAGTATCAATTGAAATTGTCAATGCTAATGCGAGAACAGATGAAAGGTCTTGTCTACGCCAAACTTATCGTCTTCATCATTTCTGCGATTGCTATGTGCGCATGGACTTTGACCATGGCAGGCGGTATCGGACCTGTCGCTCGTCAACCAGGTACTGTCAAAGGTTCAGAACGATCATGGCTTCTCGTACGATTCATACTTCTTGGAGCTGCAAATTGTGCCACATTTGCTTCCAACGCGGCCGATTTCCAACGTTATGCACGTAAACCAAACGATGTTATTTGGGGAAATTTAGTCGGATTTCCCATCTCCAATGTTCGTATTATTGCTTTGCTTTGCTTTGCTTTGCTTTGCTTTGCTGACATCACTCATCTGTTGACGCACCCCTACTAATGTTTGCAATAGTTAATCGTATCTATCATCGGTAATCTAGTAAGCTCCTCGAGTCAAGTACTCTTTGGCGAAATTATCTGGTCTCCCCTTACATACCTCGACCAAATTCTTGAACGAACATACGATGGACCGACTCGAGCTGGGTGTTTCTTCATTGCAGCTTGCTTCGCTTACTCCGCAATCTTCTCTTCGATCTTCGAAAATTCTATTCCAGCTGGAAACGATATCGCTGCGCTTTGTAAGTCGAGAAATCTCTTTCTACTTCATCCCAAATCTCCCATATACAAGATTCGGATGGTTTCTGATACTCATCTTCCTAGTCCCAAAATATATATCCATCCGTACCGGTTTCTTCATCTGCGCTGTCATCTCCATAGTAATCCAACCCTGGTACCTCCTCAAATCGGCCGTAATATTCATCTCCTTCCTTGCGTCCTACCAAATTTTCCTCTCAGCCATCACCGGCGTTCTTCTTTGCCACTACTTCGTCATCGCCCGCGGTTTCCTAAAAATCCCAGATCTTTACACCTCGGATAAAAAAGCCGCATATTATTACAAAGGCGGCTGGAACTGGCGCGCGTATGTAGCATATGTAATTGGTATTATACCTAACTTCTACGGCTTTCTGAATAACATGGGAGTTAAAGCTCCAATGGGTGTCACAAGAGCATATTATTTTGCGTATCCGATTGGACTTTTTGTGAGTTTTATGGTCTATTGGGGACTTTGTTGGCATTGGCCGGTGGAGATACAATATGCGCTTCCGGAGTGGAGAGAGGTCAAGGATTATGTGAGAGAGGAAGAAAGAACAGAGGGCGTGGCGAGTGGATGGGGAAGTGTGGCTAGTGGAGAGGAAGCGGGAGAGGGAGTTGTAGGGACGGGGGAAAAGGATAATTCGAATGTGAGAGAGGAGAAAAATTGAGCGGGTGTGTAGGAGAAGAGAGGATGGTGTAAGTGATTTTGACATGGAGCCGTGGGTTGATGGAAATAGGGGGATGTTATATATGTACGTATATGTGTGCATGTATTCATGTATAATTCTTGTGATCCTAGTCACTATACATATTATGTTGTATTATAAAATCTCCTAAATGTATTTTACTAATACTAATTATTAAGCTTCACACATTAATTTCCTTCCAACGTATCTTCTACTACTGTAATTAGAACATAAAACACACTACCTACTATAGCTTACCCGAAATTTACCCGCAATTACGAATTTATCAACATCGATTTATCAATTTGATAGTAATGAATATACAATTTCAGACTGTGTATCCAAGAGTAGTTATTGTGTATTATTGCTACTGATAGCGAGCAACAAAGTGGAAAAGGTGTGGAAAAGTAACAGTAGATATATGAATACCTCTACGAAAAAGACATCGGAGATGCTCATGTTAGGATATATAGTGACGCGAATGGATAGGGAATGTAGACCTATATACTCCAACTTTTTATGTGGGAGTTTTTAACTTCACTCACTCGATAAGTCGTCTTCATTAGTGACTTGATGATGTGGAGTATAGCATGGCTGAATATGTATGAATGGAAATGGTGATGGAGATGGGGACGGAGATGGAGATAGATTAAGGGGTTGGTCAAACTTCACTTTGGTAAAGACGAATAATTAAGCTTGGGAGTTGAGATTGAAAAAGCGGAATGGTGATTGATGTATGTACTCTGTTTGTATGTTACTAAGAGAATAGATGTGCAACAAAGTGAAGGAATTGAATGGGATTGGGAGGGATGGATGGTTAGCGGTGGGTGGATGGCGTGGGAGGGTGGTCGGGAGTGATATACCGGTAGTGCAGACAGGTGGGTGCTGGGAGGGGAAAAGTGGATGGATGTGTGGTTGTTAGTTCTAGAATAAACAGGGAGGAAGGAAGGCAGGGAGGGATGGGAGGGGTGCAAGAAAGGCTTGAATTTGTGAATCTGTGGAGTTGTGACGCCACTAGAGATGTAGATGTGCAACAAATATATTTATCTACCTAGCATTTATCTTCGATTCGCTGTGCATACTTGGTAAGGGGTTAGATGTTGTTGTTGGGGGTTTCTTTATTTAGTTTGGATGGAGGTTTGATGTGGATGGGTGTGGCACGGCTTCAGCGGATGCGGATGCGAGACGCCGGACTGGACTGGGGGTTTGAGGGGCGGGACTTGGGATTAGGATACGAAGGAGACGCCACTAGAGATGTAGATGTGCAACATTTGGTTTTTCGTGTGTGTAAAGTAAAGCTATTATTTGATGATGGTGGGTTTTGCTGTCTTGTAGTGTGGTGCGAGGGAGATTGGAGTACCAGGTTTGCGAATGGGTGGTTGTGGATGAGTGTGGATAATGGTTAGAAGAGCTACAAAGCCTATTTAGATTGAATGAATGAATGAATGAAGCAAAAGGGGTTGAGCATTGAAGATTGAAATAGAACGCCACTAGAAAACCAGACATGCAACAAGACACATCAAATGCAATCTAAATGGTAAATTATAATCTTCTCCCTGCGCGCTGTGAACATTGCGGTTAGATCACGTACGGTGCAGAGACAACGGTCGTGGAGTGGTGTGGTGTGGTGGCTAATCAGTATGTGAAACGCCCGACAACTCGCTAGTTCAACAGGGGCGTTTAGGTATTTAAGATTTGACATAAAACGAAGCGGACATGACGCCACTAGAGATGTAGATGTGCAACAGACGGAGGGTTTTATGGGAGCTGCGTGTTGGTATTTATTCTATTCCTTGTAGGTGTGATCATTTCGGTAGATGTAGAATCATTTAGGTAGGTAAGGTGGTGATAGATTGTAGGGTTGAACAAAGGTGGCACAGTCTATGCAGGTTGTTGGTGTTGGGTGGCTGATGCGAGACGCCGACCTCTTGTGTTGCGTGCGATTGTGTGAGAAGAAAGCAGCAAGGTGAGGATATCTCAAGATCAAGACGCCACTAAAAAACAAGACATGCAACAAAAGGATTCTCCTCTACCCTTTCTAAATTAAAACAGTTAGTTAGTTCTCCCACCAACTCATTTTACTAAAAGAGTGGATCCGACATCCGGTGCCACAGAAAATTGGTGGTGGCGGCGACGATGCAAAATCCCGGCGGTCGCGAGAGTTTACAAGGGATTTTGGGGGACTAACATTGAACTATCTGGAAATTGTTTGCAAACCCTGAACGCCACTAAAAATTCAGATGTGCAACAAATGCGCAATGTGGATGTTGAGAGTGAATCTAGTGTGTTTTCTTCCTTACAGTACAAATTTAAAAGGATGTGGTAGCTTTAATGCGAGACGCTGGTTGCGCGGTGCTTGGAGCCTTTTGGCGACTAAAGTTGAGAAGCGAAGTGAGGATGGAGTTGTGGATTGTTGGACGGTTGTACTATTGTGAAAAGGGGATTTCCTCGTGTTGGTATATGCCCAGGAGTACCTAGATTTTGGATAGACAGATAGAATTCTAGTTATTATTGATAGCTATCTTCAATAAAACAACGTCTCCATATAACAATTTATCCCTTTCCTTCTCCCCGAAGATCCTATTCTTCTTCTCATTCACATCCCCCAAAAGCTAAAATCAACACCAATGCACACCCATTACTCGTACAACAACTAACTCGCCTAGCTTTTCTAGCCCGTTTAACCTATGTAGCCTTGTATCCCAGCGTGCTACCCTTTAAATTACCAAAAATAGATTCTTAAGGATGAAGCATGTAGAATCTGGGTCGTGCCGCCGCGGGACGTTTACGCTCATTAGATAAAACGAACCGTTGTTTGCGATTTTGTGAGTTTGGATGAAATGGTTAGATGAAACGCACTAGACGCGCTGTGCCACGGCCACAGGCGAGGTAGCTTGGTCATGGAGATATGTATCTAGGTATGCATAATTTTGTGCAGATATATGAATGCTTATCTAAATGTGATAGGAGTGAAATCAAAGTTTATTATTAGAAGCTGGATAAATACATTTGCGATTCTAAAACCAAAGAATCAAGACAACGGTAAATATAAAACTGTGCTCTAATAACCCCAACGAAAGGTAACTCAACACGATTCATACCCCACCCTTTCCCTCTAATCCCTCGAGTCATCCCATATCTCCTTTCCTATGCTTGCTAGCCTTATCAACAGCATCGAAGCATCGGATTCTTCCCACATTAGCTTTAACTTTAGCTTTCAGCATCCTGCCCTTTATATATCCATGCCCCAATCCATGCCATCCACACAATCTCATGCGCATAAACCCTCACCAGTAATCCCAACATCACTGCCAACTTAGCTTCCACACAACACCACCCTAAACCAACTAGACAGGGTAAACTGGCTATAGCTGCACACTTGTAAGCATGCTAATTCCTTCTAAACTACACTTGGTCTTCGCTCAGCAGATACTTGCATTAATTAACAGAAAATGAAACGTTTTGTTGCACGTCTTGATTTTTAGTTTGGTTGGGAAGATGCGTGAGAGTTGTAGTTGTGGGTGCTTTGCATTTAGGTTGGTGGTTATGAATGGGAGTGAATATAATATGTATATGATGTGATTATTTCTTCATTGTATCGTTATTATATGAGGTTGACCGATGCTATTAACTTTGCTCGGTATTGGTATATCTTCCGTAACGCCTTGAAACCCTTATAGGTAGGTGATGTACTCTACAACAGGTCCGTATCTGAAACCTTTGTCTATTCTATGTAGGACTCACCCCTCCGTTCATCACTTTACTCTTTCTTCTTTTAGGCTTTCCTGATCCTGGAGTTCTAGGACTTTTCTCTCCCTTACTTCCTTTCTTTTGCATGCCCAAATCTGTTTTTAAAGGCGTAGGAGGTGCAGGTTTACCACTCAGACCAAAACCTGCTGGTTTTGATGTTGGTGGCACCATAAGCTTTTCTTTTTCCTTCCGACCGGTTGTACTAAAATGGAAATCACCTGGAGTTCCGGTAATAGGATTTTCATCCATATATTCATCGCCATATCTGAGCGATATGTTAAGAGTTTCTTCAAGAAGGTGATTTGCGAGTACGTTGTTGGAGATATTTGTGGAGGGATTCTTGGCTTCAGTCGCAAGGGAATCGGGCAATGGTGTATTCTCTTTGGAAGCCTGAGAGAAAGCTGATGCAATGGCTTTTGTTCGTGGTGGAACTGGTGGCATATATGTATGACCGAGAGAGGGAGAAAAATTGGGTAATTCGGATGCTTTCGAGATGGCATTTGTGAGTGAGGTGAAGATTGATAACTGCATTGGTATTAGAGACATTAAATTTGAATCGGAGAATTATGAATACCATTCTACTGCCCAGTACATCTGCGACAGTAGGAGCCATATAAATGTTCTCTCCCACTACAAAATACGATGCATGTTTTGTAATTTCATCGTCGTCTTGAGCTCTCTTTCTTCTTGTTTGCTTGCTAATTACCCATACTCCCGTGCCAGTACCCGGCGCCATCTCTGCAGGTTCTTGTGCAACTAAAAATTCCAGTCCAGACATAGTTTTGAGTCGGCTCTCAAAGGCACTACGAGTGGCAAGGATGTACGACATATTTGGATTGAGCGTACCTTGTATCGTTAGGATCGCATTATTTGAGGTTTGATCAAAAAATGGTGACTGCGCAAAGTAATGAAGAACAGTATTTTCATGAAGACCTGAATTCCCAGCAAGCCACATTGGATGGCTCCATTGTATCTCATCAAGCGGGGGATCTTGTGGTGCCATGGCGATGATGCGATAACAGGTAGAGAGATGCTGTTGAGTATGCGAGAGGTCGCAAAACAGTTCAAGAATTCAATGATCTGAATTGACTTAAAATACTAGGTAGGTATCGAGACTTGTTGTGTGTGCGACGTCGCAATGCAAAGGTTAAGTGCTCAATTCTATCGACGTATTGACGTATTGATGTATTGAAAATAGAGGATCTGCTGTATGCGCCGTATCTGAGAATCAGTCGAATGGGGGTTGTAAAGACCGTACGTACGGAATGTCAATGGTGATGGAATTGTATTTAGATGGACAAATCGTTGACGGAAGATACCGAGAAGCTGAAGGGATGGTAGCGGCCGCTAGTGCAATAGCCATGACGTTGATCATCTGGTCCGGATTCATGTTCGATGGCACCAGATTGAGTATTCGAGTATCTAATCAAACAGCTGATCATAGATGATTGAGTTCACTATGCATTTGGGTAGGAAGCTATATGTTTGATAACAGAAGACGACTAGCAAGAAAGGCCAAGCTCTTATGAGGCCTATTCAAAGTACAACACATTGCATGATACTTCAATAGCCAATCATAATTCTCATGGATCATGATATGGCTCTCGTCGACCAGTTGTTGAGCTGCAAGCTTGTTTAGGAGGCCACTATTGTTGTAACATACGGTTCCAGTGCAATCTTACATGTTGAGGGTCTTCTTGACCTGTCAGATCCCAAATACCCTCGAGACATCTCGAGATCTCAAGTGACTACCAAGAGACTGTATGGAGTACATGACAGAAGACAAAGGGGTAGTACAAGAAGACCCCGACGATACATGCTGTGGAAAGAGGATCCCATTTGCTTTTTGATTTTCAGCTCTTCTTGCGTTTTCGGTTGTTTCGCCAATCACTAACATATATATCTACATCTCATATAGTCAACGCTCTATTCGAGGGAGAAAGAGAGACCGAATGAACCACAAATAAAGCCATCAGCTTTCATAGCACCAAAAAGTCTCAAAAAAGCCTTGAATGGTCTTTAATTGAGACGATTTTGAACGCCATTTGACCTGGATTGGATAGGAACAGCTGAACTATTGTAGGGCTTCACTAAGGGTCAATTCTAACTTGTTTTTTCTATGTAATATCACATATCCCTTGCATTTACTTTTCTGTTTTCAGCTCCTGAATTGTGTATGATTCTCAGAAAGACTGAACAATTCGCCTTTTCTTCTACTCTGTTTTTTCCAATACGCTTTTCTTACACCTATCGTCTGGTCAATGAATACAATATATTCTCCAATTTTAGTGATAATGATATAAATCGAATCCAGATTGCATGTAATCTTCCAAAGACTTGGGATCTTACACACTAGTCATCTAGTTTATATTCGCATTTGAGGGGGGAGAGATGCTCATCAGAAAGCTGAATATCATGATAAAAATGGCGAGCGTTTCAGGTGGTAAAATTCCCCGGTCAGCCCTTTGGAGGATTTTCTCGGATTGCCTTGGTCCCGCATTTCATTGATTAAAGATTGAAGGGCGGTGGGCGATTCGGCAGAAAAAAGTTCCGACAAGAATCTCAAAATCGCAGAAAAAACACAATTTTCACAACAACTTGTCTACATTCAATCCGTGGATTGAAAATAACTAAATATGCCTCCTAAATTCACGCCTCGACAGCGAAAGCACAAAGTGCTTGCGAGAAATAAAGTCAATGATACCGAGACACCAGTAGACTCCAATGCGACAGAGATCCTCCCGTCCTCGAAAGCCGCACATGAAGAAAAGAAGCAGAAATTGAAGGCAGAGCTGGCAGGGGATAATAAGATTAGTGGGAAAAAAGCGAAAAGATTGGAGAAATATATCGAAACAAAGCTGAGGAAGGATGAAAATAGGATATTGATCGAAAAGTTATCAAAGAAGAAAGAAGAGGGAGGATTGTATGAGAGTAGTAAGAAATTGGGTCAGGGTTCATTAACCAGGAGAGAAAGATTGGCGCGAGCGCTGAAGGAGAGGGAGAGAGGCATTGATATCGATGGAGATGGAGAAGAACTACTGTTCGAAAAGAGGACGATTAGGGAGATGGAAAGTGAGAGTAGTGAAGATGAAGACGATGAAATCGATCAAAAGAAGGAGGGCGGTCTTTTCCAGGGTACTGCGACTGCAACATCTTCCGCTCCGACACCAAAAGTGCCCGCGCAAACATTACAATTTGGTGTAGGCACAGGTTTAAAGAGGCCACTCGAGGTGGATGATGACGGAAAGCCGGTAATAAAAAAGCGACAAAGGCGAGGAGGTGTTAAGTCGAGGATATCATCGAAGCCACAGGCCCCAGCCGCGGAACCAGCATGGGAAGGATTTTCTTCGAATTCAGAGGTCGATAGTGATGAAGAGATGAAATCAGATGAGGATTCTGACAATTCGAATACGCCAGATGAGACAGATGACAAAAAACGTGCAGAGTTATTGAAGCGTCTTACGGGAATTTTTGCCGAAGGTGGTGAGGGGACCGACTCGGAAGATAGCAGTGAGGAAGGATCTTCGAATGAGGATAATAATGAAGACAGCGATGATGAAGACGATGAAGAAAGCGAGGAGACAAGTGACCCTGAACACGCCCAGCTACTAAAGAATATTATGTCCATTTTCGAAGAAAGCAAAGAGGGGGCTCTTCAATCAGCGCTTGGAAACGATAAAGAAGATAATAATGAAGAAGGATTATCAGACGAAGACAGCGATGAAGGTAGCAGCGAAGAGAGTAGTGAAGAGGAAGATGAGGACGAGGTGGCGTCGAGGAAACAGGAACGCTCATCCGCGTTCAAAGCCTGGGCAACTCAACAAGTAAACGAAGCTTATGGATACGAACCGTCATCAAATATTCCAAATGCGACAGAAACGCCAAGAATAGAAGGATTCGAACCTCGACCTTTAGAACAGGATCCTTTACCAGTGGAATTACAACCAACTACGAATCTTTCACGAAAGGCATTCAGTGTTTCGATAGAGAGACCTTCAAGTATTCAAGATGTTAGACTCAAACTTCCAGTCGTAGCTGAAGAACAGAAAATCATGGAAGCGATTCATAACAATAACTTAGTGGTTGTGTATGGTGCTACAGGTTCTGGAAAAACCACTCAAGTACCACAATTCTTATACGAAGCTGGGTATGGTACTAAAGATTCACCAAATCCTGGAATGATTGGAGTTACACAACCTCGAAGGGTTGCAGCCGTCAGTATGGCAAAACGTGTAGGTGATGAGCTTGCTGATCATGGTAAGCGAGTTGCCTATCAAATTCGATTCGAGGGAACAGTAAGTTCAGAAACTGCTATCAAATTCATGACGGATGGTGTACTTTTGAGAGAGGTTGCCCAAGATATTGCTCTGAGAAAATACTCCGCCATTGTAATTGATGAAGCTCACGAGAGGAGCGTTAATACCGATATTCTTATCGGTATGCTCAGTCGAGTGGTAAAATTAAGAGAGGAAATGGCTGAAGAAGATCCGTCTATCAAACCATTGAAACTTATTATCATGTCCGCTACTCTACGAATTACAGATTTTACAGAGAACAAGACGTTATTTTCTACTCCACCACCTGTACTTCAAGCGGAGGGTAGACAATACCCGGTCACTACTCATTTCGCCCGAAAGACACATCATGATTATGTTGAGGAAGCATTTAGAAAGATTAGCAAAGGACATCGCAAACTACCTCCAGGAGGAATTTTGGTATTCTTGACTGGTCAGAATGAAATCACACATCTCAGCAAGAAATTGAAAGAAGCTTTCAAAATAGGCTCTACTACCACAGGACCACAAGTTCGCATATCCGGAAAAGATGCACCTATGGAAGCTGAAGATATCGATTTTGGTGAAACTATGGACACGTCCAATGACGATTATGTCGATGATGATGACGAAGTTACGTTTAATGATGATGAAGATTTTGATATCGGAGAAGAAGCAGATACCGGACCTTCAAAGATGCACATATTACCATTATATTCCTTACTGCCCACGAAAGAACAGTTGAGAGTTTTCGAACCACCTCCAGATGGTTCACGGTTGATTGTATTGGCCACCAACGTTGCCGAAACGTCTCTCACAATCCCTGGTATTCGTTATGTTTTCGATTGTGGAAGATCAAAAGAACGCAAATACGATAAAACAACTGGTGTACAAAGTTTCGAAGTCGGATGGATTAGCAAGGCCAGTGCAAGCCAACGTGCAGGTCGTGCGGGTCGTACTGGTCCTGGACATTGTTATCGATTTTATTCATCAGCTGTTTATGAGAGAGATTTTGAAGAATTCGCGGAGCCGGAAATTTTGCGAATGCCCATTGAAGGTGTGGTATTACAACTCAAGTCCATGAATTTGCAACACGTTGTCAATTTCCCATTCCCAACTCCACCAGATAGACAAAGTCTTGCGAGCTCCGAGAAACTACTCACTTACCTCTCTGCAATCTCTCCTTCTGGTCAAATAACCCCAACTGGTTCAACTATGTCCATCTTCCCACTTTCACCACGATTTGCTCGTATCCTCTTAGTAGGACATCTACACGATTGCCTTCCATACACCATCGCTCTTGTAGCAGGTCTCTCTGCTGCCGATATATTTATTCCCGAAAACCAAGTCATTCCCGCCGCCGCTCCCCGTGAGGACGAAGACTCATACCTCACTACCGCCGAAAAGATCGAGCAAGATGCACGCGCAAATCTCCGTCGTCAATTCAACAAAGTTCACCAATCTTTCTGTTTCCTTGACGATAGATCAGATGCCATTAAACTCCTTCAAGCCGTTGGTGAATTTGCCCACGAACCCACAGAGTCATGGTGTGCATCTCACTACGTACGCTACAAGACTCTCAAGGAAATCTCGCAATTACGTCGTCAAATCACAGACCTTTTGAGAACCAATATTCCCGCATTCGCAGCATTGAAATATGAAGAGAAACTAGCGCCACCAACCGCCAAACAAGTCAAGGCACTCAAACAAATGGTTGCCGCAGGATTTA